CGGGGATGGGGCCGGGGCCGGGGCCGGGCCCGGGCCGCCGCGGAAGCCGTCTCCGGTGCACGCTGCCTGGGGGGTGAGAGTGGTGGCGTTTCGCCGGTCTCCCCGCTGCTGCCGGGAGCGTGGGAAGGGGCGGGCTGGTGACGCCTCCGCGATGGGCCCTGCCTTGCCTGGGGGGGGGGGGAGAAAGCGGCCGTCACGTCGCTGCAGGCCCGAACCGTCGGTGCCTCGGTTTTGGTGGCAGCGCAGAGGGGAGGAAGCGGGCCGGAGTTGGAGGGAGGAGGCAGGAGAGGAGCTAGTAAGCGTTCTGCTTCTGACCCCCTCTCGTCTGGTGCAGAGACCGAGTGCTGAAATATTTTTGCACCCACAGAAATCCTGCTGCCTCTCTCTTCCAGGAAAACTAGGAACAATGTTCTTGGGTGCAAAACCTTGGGTTTATGTTTCCTCTTGTAAGTGGTATTTCAGGTTTGTCTTTTAGAAAATCAGCAGTCTTTGCTTTGCTGGGAAAAGACACGTTTGTAACAATCTGAGGACCCTAGCTGCGCTGTTGGTTTGTATTCCTGTGCTGCTTGTATTATTTTTTTATTATTATTTTTATTCTTTACCAACTTGCATGCTTACATCTTTGTCCTCGATCTGGATGGAAAGGTGGTTACTTAGTAGTAAGGAGGAGCCACATGGTGGATGGAGAGTGTAAGCATATTTTGGTTTGGTAGTGCCTGAGGAGAAAATTGTATAGTTTTTGATAACTTCTAACATACCATGACTGATAAGTAAGTGATCTGGATCAGTGTTTTTCTTAAGAAACTGGATACAGCCATCTGAGAGAACATAGTAGGAACATCAAGCAAAGAGGTTTATATTTTTGGTAAGCTTGGAACAATCTTAAATTCTTCTCATTTGTGCATTTGCTGAAATACTAGCAACGAGTAATTACCAGTAAAGTTAAAACAGAGTTCAGTCCTTCACTGAGATGGCAAGCAGATCAGTCCAGATCAATCCCTTACATTGTGGTTCGAAATTTATTTTTTTAACATTGCCCAGCAATGTCTAGCATTGACCTTTGTTAGTAATGTTTTATTCCGTATGCTTGGAAAGAACAGTGTTGGAGTAAATTAGATCATTAAGTTATACTGGTGTTTTATTTTTGTATTCTCTGATGGTATTTTCTGATGATATTTCTTTTGATTGGTATCTTTTACTAAAACCTTGATTAAAGATATTGTCAAAAGTAATCTGAATCATAGTGAGGTTTTTTGTTTCAGTTTCATGTGTTATGTAATACAGGAAGAGAACATAGAGGGAGATTGAGCCCATCTGTTTACATCTAGAATCTGGTTTTGATTGTAGTTTGCAATAAATATGTTGCTGAAAAAGTAGAAGATCATGTTTCATTTTGGGGGTAGCTAAGTTAGTTAAAAAGTTTAAAACCATCAGAGAGACAAAAGAATTACAATGATAAATTATGCTGCTTGCAATTCTAAGCAGTAACTTTTTAGTAATTTAGTAAATTTTAGTAATGTAGTAAGTTTTTTCTTAATGAGATTTGTCTTGTTGCTTTGCAGAAGTAATGCCTTACCTGGCTTGAAGATCTAAGAGAGCTTCCTGTTTGCATAAGGCATAAAAGGAAATGGAAGAAAATGAGACTTTACAAGGTGAAAAGGAGAGGGCAAAAATTGAAAAACACGCTACTCCTGAGATCGGTCGGCAGATATCAGTTAGTGAGTTCCTTTGTCACTGCTGTTATGACATTCTGGTCAATCCCACCACCCTGAACTGTGGGCATAGTTTCTGCAGACATTGCCTAGCCTTGTGGTGGGTATCGTCCAAGAAGAATGAATGCCCCGAATGCAGAGAAAAATGGGAAGGATTCCCAAAAGTCAACATCCTCCTCAGGTGAGTACATTGTGCCATTTTGGATTTGTAAACCCACCAAAATTAGTTGTCTGGTTTCTTGAGTTTGCTGCAGATTTTTGTAGTTTATTGACAGTCAGAACTGTCACAAGGACGTTTAAATCCTGAAGTCTTTCATGTTCTGCACTTGTACTGAACTGTTCAAGCACATTTTTCTGCATGGAACTAAGGGGTAGGTTGGTTTGCTTTGGTTTGGGTTTTGTTTTGGTTTTTTTTCCCCCTTCTGAATTTTTGGGGGGATGGAAAGGAGGAATCTTTTTTTATTATTGAGACACTTGCATCTTTTAGTGTAGTTGGTTGTTTCCTAATAATTCTAGGTTAGAATGATCTTTGGTAATTGTGTAATTATTTCTGTAATAGGAATTATTTATAGGAAGAAATGTGATCTTATGGCAGAACAAAGCTAGACATATCAATTTGCTGTCTTCAATTACCCACAAGTTCTTGTGCAATAATACTTTATCTTAGGTTAATAATGTTTTAATAAATAAATGGTAGCATTGATGGTAGGCTTTTATATTGTCTTTTGCTTAGCATTTCTGAATAATCAAGGCTTGCCAGTAGCACACACAATTCTAGTTTTATCTAAGAAATAAGTATTTTTTTGTGTGTGTGATATTTTAACTTCCTCTATCTTTAGAAGCTAAGGAAAGTGTTGTTTGGAAGTAATGATTTAAGTTTAACTTTACTAAGTATTAATAACTAATGTTTTCTTACTTTCAAAGATGACAGTTTTAGTAGAGGCTGGAAAACAAAAATTCCCAAATTAGTCCCTTTTCCAAATGTTAAGCCTCAATGTTTATAGTACAATGACAAATATTTTTCCCATTAGGGATGTTATTGAAAAGCTATTTTCTGATGCCATTGAACAAAGAAAAGAAGATATTCAACAAAACAGTGATGTAGCACGCAGCTTAGCAACCTTCCAAAAATATGGGAGTGACCAGATCCCTACAGTTCCGAACACAGGAAGAATTAATCCTCGAGGAGGAGGGTTTTTCTCAGGCGTTCTGACAGCTTTAACTTGTGTAGCAGTAAGTTTCATCTGGTTGGTTCTCCATATTTACTTCATTAAGCATGCAATCAGATATACTTAAATTACATGCACATAAGGAAGACTGTCAGCACAGAAGAAACTTCAGCTGAGCGGAGTAAATAAGGTAGCATTCAGAGTTGTCTGTCAGGAACTACAATTGCAATATACAGCAAACAGAAGTTAGACAAATTGGGTAGAACTTCAAGGTGCTTTCTTATAACCTGAATATTCTAGAGTCCATAAAATGGAAGATTCTACATGTCAAGCCTCTTAATGCATGTTTATTTGTATCATTAATATATTTGCTTTGCAAGTAAATGATCTCTTTTTTTTTTTTTTTTTTTAATCTACTTACAGGTAGTTCTACTTGGATATCACTGGAGTAGCAGAGAATTTGAAGAAGATCTTCTTGTCCACAAGCCTGTTGCTAAATGGACTGCTGAGGAAGTGATACTTTGGCTAGAGCAGCTGGGCCCATGGGCTTCACATTATAAAGAAAGATTTTTACTGGAGAAGGTGAATGGAAGGTGAGAGGCCTAATTGTCAAGAACAGCTATCATTTGATTGGACTACTGGATAGCTTTCATTAGGGATGGTATATTGTGCAATGACCATACTTCATTCCATAGACTGTGGGAATATTCTGTTGATGTATCAGAATAAGATTCAGGGTAAGTTTTAACACTTGTAATTGAAAACTTTAGCAGTAGATAATAAGCAAGCTAACTGAAAATTTTCTAAGAACTTTTTTAAATGCTGACAATGCAGACTGAAATGATACTGAAAGTAAAATACTACTAATGTATTATCCACCCCTCCCACCATTTCTTTCTTGTGAAAATATTCATATGCTATAGGCATTGTGGCATTCTACCCAAGAGCTCTAGGTTTGATTTCAGGAGACCAGGCTGGATCTGTGAAGTACTGAAGAACTATGTTCAGTAATAGCCAAGAAGCTGATAAATTTTCATGCTGAAAGCAGGCAAGAAAAAACTTGAAAAGAGGGATATTTAAAACCCAGGCTCTGAGACACATTTGATTTGGAACACTTGATACAGCATGTAATGATGATCTTTAAGGTCCCTTCCAACCCAAACCATTCTATGATTCTATAATCCAAAAGGTGATATCTTCTATCAGTAGCTTACTGTTTCAGTATGTAATTGCTAATTTGTTAGTCATATCTTTTTGGTGAAGAGGCACTGTTTACCTTCTGAATTCTTCTGCTTTTGTAGACTCCTTCTAACACTGACAGAGGAGGATTTCATGAAAGAGCCTTACAGTATAGAGAACAGTAACCACAGAAAAGCTATTATGGCGGAATTGGAATGTGTGAAAACTTTAGGCGTTAAACCACCACAGAACCTTTGGGAATATAAGGTATGTTTTATATAAAGTCTGTCATGTATATTAAATGTTTTTAAAATAATATCTTTAAAAGAATATTCTCTTAAAGCCAGGAGGAGTGTTAAGGTAGTAGAATTACCCTTGTAAAAAGCTGCTCAGTTTAATGAACTGTTGTAACTGAAAAATGATGCTTTGAAAAAAAGATTGTCAGGAAAAGCTAAGAACTGGCATGTCCCTTTCGTTTTGTTTTTTCATTGTTTGAAACTTGATAATTTGATACCTTTCAGGCAGTAAATCCAGGAAAATCACTCTTTTTTCTGTATGCACTGAAGAGTTCTCCAAGACTTAGTATGTTATACCTGTATTTGTTTGATTATGCAGAAGCTTTCCTACCTTTTATCCACACAATTTGCCCTACGCAAGAAGACAAGTATGAAGATACTGTCACAAAACTACTAGTAAGTGTTCAAAACATTAAGTATGCTACTTGTTTTAGTTATAAGCATTTTAAGACTAGCAGCATAAAAACACATGATCTAATTATTCACCATTTCACCTCTTTACAATTTTTAAAAAAAAAGTCCTACAAAGTAAGTGGTTCCTTGATTTTGTTGTATGTGATCACCAGTGTTGTGACCGTTACCCTTAGTAAGATTGATTTAAGGCTATTAAGACTTTAAATCTGTCAAACTATTTTTTTTTGACGTTCACATGACTATAGAATGGCTGTTCACTCAAAATAGCGGTATTTTAACAAATGGCATTATAAGGTCTGGCTGTCTGTGATGTTTTATTCTGATCTAATGGAAATTACTGGGTTATAGTATTATCTACCAGAAAGTATAGTAAAGATAAATTACTGCTTTCAATGTATGAAAACACAATTTTTCCACAAAAGAATAGTGGAAATAAGCCAGTATTGTGCCTGTTTAATAGGAAATTGATTGACAGTCTTTTTATCCTAATTTACAGGACCTTAAAGATCCTTCGTGGAAACAGTGGAGAGAATTCATTGTAAAGTATTTATTTTTGCCATACCAGTTGATAGCTGAATTTGCTTGGGATTGGCTGGATGTGCATTACTGGACATCAAGATTTATAATTGTAAATGCCATGTTGCTCTCTGTTCTGGAATTATTCTCCTTTTGGAGGCTCTGGTCAAGAAGAGAATTGAAGTAAGTCTTACTGAGCTTGTTGAAGAAGGTGGGAAGTACATGGCCTTATAAATAGAAAGTAACAGTCTTACGATTTCACAGTTGCTCACTGAAATGACATGTCTAACCACAACTGTGACGTTAATAAGAACATGTGAATCTGAATCTGGACATACACCAGTACTCACTCTTGAGTATCTTTATTTCTTGAAAGGGTTTCTTATAGCTTGTTTTATTGATCGGATGTAGCAAATGCTGTAATGGTAATAAGCATGTTCTTAGCCATGGAGTAAATATTAACTCTTGAGAATTGCCTTTTATGGTAACTGGTAGTAGCTATCAGCTAATTTTGTCATGATATGCTTACAATATAGTTATTAAAGGATGAGTCCTCAGGATCATAAATAAGTTTAGTTACACTGATAATATTTCTGATAGGTGATCAAAATTGCTGGTTTTAGTTCCTGCTTTAGCCTTAATTCAGGCATATTAATAGTACTTTATATCTGCTGTGATCTTTCATTCATAGTTTTTAGAACTTGCATAGGAGAAATTCTTGTTTTGGTGTGTACTGGGTTTCCACTTTCTCTGCCAGCAGCTAGGGGGCAGAACATGTTCAAAAGAGAACAGGCTACATGGACATGATCTATGAGAAATCTGGAATTTGACCACTTTAACTTGCTGTGCTTTGTGGTCTGAATAAATTGACTTAATGCTTCCTCATATAAAGTCTAGTATTACTATATTTCAAGAAAGTTTTTCTGGAGTGCAAAATTATATTTTAGAGGTACCTGAGTAAGGGGTAAATAATTTGAGGCTGCAGCACATACTAGCTTTTCTTAGATAGGGTAAAAACAAAATGGAAAGTTCCTCTAAGCCTCTTTTCCTTTTTCACAGGACTATTCCTCACAGAATGTGGAGACATTTCTGGAAAGTCTCAACCCAGGGTCTTTTTGTTGCCATTTTTTGGCCTTTTATTCCTCAGTTTGTCTGCAATTGTTTGTTTTACTGGGCCTTGTACTTTAACCCAATTATAAACATTGATCTTGTGGTTAAAGAAGTAAGGCGTCTGGAGACACAAGTGCAGTGACTGGCATTGGAACTTTTGAGCTGTTTAGCTTCTAAAAATGGACATTTGAAATAAGCTTTGCTTTTCTTTATATATGTAGCAGTGAAAGTGGTAGATTATGTTAACTTAAACATACAAAAAAGCCTTAAGGTAAGTTACTCTTAAACTAGTTGATTCCAAATCTGAGGATGGGCTTTATTATCCAAAAGGAATTTTCTATTGAAAAAAAAAATTACATTCCTGATTTAGCCATATAAAACTTATACAGTCATGTCACCCTATTTTTGATCAAATCAAACTTCTCTATTCTGTCTTGAGCATTCTGGTTATTTTTTAAGCCTGCCTTAAAATCAGTGTCTTCTGAACAGCTACAAAGATTGGGGGTTTTGTTTGTTTTGGTTTTGTTTGGTTGTTTGGGGTTTTTTTTTTTTGTAACTTAGCATTTCATAGCAGCAAGGTGCTCCTCAACTTAAGTTTGCCAAAGGAAAGCTCTTCCTGGATAGGCTTGATATTGAAAGTACTTCAGTGTTTTCAGTTTGCTTTACATGTAAAGTTGTGACCGTCAAATACAGCCTTACAGTAGAGTTTGTTCTAAAATTCCTACTGTTGAAGGCAAAGACTGCTTGAGTTTTCTTCTGTTTTGGAAAATGTGGTGGTTGTCATTCAAAAGTTTTTATTCAGTTAAACTTCATTAATAGCTTCTTTAATGCTCTCCTCTTGAAGTCTGTTGCTTATTCTTAAATTCAGGGTTATGTCTTAAAAAGGATTATTTTGGAAAAGTGACCTGACGCTGTAATTACATCTCACTGCAATATAATGTGTTTATCTGGATCTGTGAGTGAATATGAACTGGAAAGTTATTTTGTGTGAACAGGATTACCATTTGTTAATGTATGGCTTTTGACTGAAACACAAGTCAGATTTTTCAAGAGTTTTGTTCCCTTGCATTCTGCACTGGCTTGGGGGTTTGGGGCTGTTTTTTTCCATTTGTATCATTAATATGAACTTTAAATTTGCCTATGAATATTTTTAAAGAATAAAGATCTCTTTTGAAATCTTCATTCTTCCTAAAGAAGTGTTTTGTTTTATTTTCGTTTTTTATATTGAAGTACTTGTCATTTGCTTTGACTTGTGCAAACTTGTTCTGTAGCCCCGCATCTTTTAAGTTGAGATGGGTGAAAGTAGGCATAAAACACTCCTGGTTCTTAAACTGTTAAAATTAGCACTTACGAAAAAATGTATTATTCAGCACTTCATGTTACTGATTTCTCTTCCTAAAATGTTTCAAAACACTATGAAATGACCCTAACTAAAACCATCTTTACATCCTTATGAGGTATATATGCTTCTGAACTTTGCAAACCCATGCTGTCCAAGATCAAACACTTACAGGAAAGGCAGTTGAGTTGGTCCCAGTGACTGCTACTTTTTTCATGTATCTGTGTTGGTGATGGTTTGCATTTGCACTTTTTAAATCTGGATCTGAAGTTTTAAGGGTAGAACTTCTCCCTCTGCCCACAGGAAACTCAATGTGTACATAGAGTAAGGAGCTTGAGCCATATCAAATGAACAACTTCTTAGAAAACCGTATTTAAAAAGTAAATACTAGGAAAAAAGAATTATATTAGGCATTTTTTAATATAGGTAGGACTACTTAAGGTGAATGAGATGCAGAAGTTAAATTATGCTTCATAATAAGTGTTTAATATACATGAGAGGGCTCTTTGTGCTGTCACTCCATGCATTTCTTCCGGTCAGTTCAAAGTTCACAAATGTTAAGGTAAGTTAGTGGAAATGTTTGATTTGTATCTTAGAGCCAGCGGAGGGGGGATAAAAAGTTTACAGTGAATGATGTTATGAATCTGAAAAATCTGTGAATCTGAATATAAACAAAATCAATTTTAAGTCAGTTACTCCTTAAGCTGATAAACTCAAATTCCTATTTAGTCGATAAAAGCTTACATAGAACTAATGAACTTGCTTTTAGTCCATGCACTGTAGAGGGTAAGTAAGAGGATAAGTGTTTATTTTGGCCATTCTGGGGTAGAGAGGCTGAGGTGGCAGGAAGGAGGATCAAGAAAGGGGAAAATCATTTGTTGTCACTACTGTGACCAAAAAAAAAGTAATTTTAAATACACAGAGAGTTTTCATAAAGACTGATGTTGTATATCTAATACCTACACAAAGGCTGAATCTCACCACACATAAAGTCTGGCCACAAAAGGTGTTTTGTATGATAGGGAGCTTTAGAAAAACATTTGGCAGCTTCACGGTCACATTCACATGCCATTTTTTGGCATTTGTCTTCTAGTGATTCTGAAAAAAAACACAGTAAGTTTGATGTTAGTCTGAAGTAATTAAAAATACCAAATGGAATACCAAGAATTGCTACCTTATGTTCCATATTTGCCAGATAAATGGCTCTTGTATTTCAAGTGCAATAGGAACTGTACTGAGCTTCAGTAAGACTTACACTTCTTTCGTGTTCTTTAGACAAAGCTCCATGCTAGGACATCTCAGCAACAGAGAATATACAAGCATGGTTTGGTTTAGTGACAATTGATAATCAGTGGAACTATCTTGGCAGGTGAAAATACAGTAATTGGATGAAGACTTAAATACTCTTCTTCACGTTCTATAATAAAGGAACTCTGATAACTGATTTCTCTTTAGAAAGTGGTATACGACCCTCCCTGCCCGCCCTGTTGCTCTGGTGAAACTTGGGTTTGGGAAGATACTTTCCATTTCGCATATGCTTTAATCTACTAAAGGATGTAGTATTAAAATTATACATGTGAAATAAGGGATGCAAAGATGTTCTATGTTCAGCTTAAATGGCCCGCCCTTTTTATTAAGGTATTCAGTAAGAAGTTAGGTAAAGTGTGTTTAAGTACGATAAAATTCATGTCTGGCCATACTTGTTTTATGATTGTAGTGTTGTAGCTTAACAGATTTCTTGGCATGAACGTTTCTTCTTGGCGTGAACGTTTTCTTCTACAGCAATATATTTTGGTTTTATTGTGCCAACCCAGAAATGTGTGTTTTTTCTCCCTGCAACTGTCTGTAAACTGAAGAATCCTTGATTATATTTTGTCTGAGTATTTAACATTTTGAAAGCTTAGCCAAATCTCTGCTTGAGATTTGTCTAGGAGCAGAACAAGTGTTCAGTTTTGTGAATGAACTCAAATTCTGCTATAAAATGGAAGTGTTCTTTATATATGTATGTTAATGCTGCAACTAGCTACCCTAAGAACTACTCAATAGCATAAGTGACATAAACAACATGGTAGGATTAAAAAAAAAAAAACAAAACATTAACTGAGAAGAACTATTCCTTCTCTTGTTATTGCTACAAACTTAATCTTCTCCATGGTACAGCACGGACTTTGTTTCAGCTTTGTTTCTTGGGGACATGCCTACTATCTTGGCCAGTGTTCTAAAAGATTGTCAGCTTCTGGACTGGAACAGCAGGAGAACCTTTACAGCCAAATATAGGTGGACTGTAACTTGACAGTTAATTAGTTTGAGAGAGAAGACGCTTAGTACTTCTGGAGCAGAGGGAATTAGCAAGTAGAGATTCTGCATGAGGTAGACATTTGGGCAAAGTAAGGTTGAATGAAAAGGAGGAAAGGAAATAGTGTCAAAAACTTTAATTTCAGGTCAGGCAAATTCTAAGTTGAGTTATGAAATGAGAGATTTTTGTGTTTTCTCTGAATGGCCTACTGTGTTGTCTTTAAACTGTGGTAGTCAGACTTGTAAACAAGTTTATGTATGGGTCTGCTTTTTTGTAGTGCAAATAATAACCAATTCTCAAGCTGTTTTGCATTCTAGATAGCATAAAATTACATGCAAAGTAACCTACCTAGCACCTGATTAAAAAAAAAAACAAAACACACCCCCGCCCAAAACCAAACAACACACAAAACAAACAAACAAAACCCATCAAACCCCCAAACAAACCAACCCTAAAACCTAACAACAAGAAGAAAAAACCCTGCAAATTTGGGGGGCTTGTGAGAAGTTGTAGTTTCAAAAAGTCTTTGAAGTGTATTAGAAAATATTTGCTAAAACTTTGGGAGTTGTGAACAAGTAATGTGAAAGAAATGCTGCTTTTTCATGTTAAACATTTTTTGTTTGTTTCTTTGAGATCTCTTTGTCCTTCTGTTTTATACTGCAGCATGGCAAGTGTATTTTATTCATATTTCGGAGCAATCGAACAAAATTTATCAGGATGTGGTCAGCCCTCTGTTGCAACTTGTACACTAATTATGTAAATATTTTCAAATTAACATTTTATGGCTTGTGGACATGTTACTTCCATGAATAAATATACTTATCAAATATTTTATTACCTCAGTGTTTGAAATTTAAAGTTGTAATTGTGAATTCATTCATAAATTGCAGCCACTACTGGGCTGTGCAACTGATCAGTGGTAAATATGCCAAAAACTTGTCCATTATAAACTTAAAAATGGTGTGAAATATTTTCTGCTAAGTATAAAAAGGATCCTTTTTAAACAGTTGTAATTTTCTCGCCTCCTGCTTGTAGTTGCTCTCCAGTTGGAGACCTGCAGAGAGTAGCTTAACATGGGTTCCTCAACATATGTAAATGCTGAGTAAAAAGAAGGGGGGTTTGGTAGTGTTTTCTGAAAGGGTAATAGAAGGTTGTAGATCAGAATTTTGTTTGCTTATGTATGTCAGTAGGTGGGGATTAAGAAGAAGAAACTGCATTCAGTTGGCTGGCATAGCTGTACTTTCTGGAGGCACAGCGTACCCTGGCAAAGAGTCACAAAAGGAAGGCTGGTAAAACAAGAATTTTACAGTTAATTAAGAAAATGTCTTTCTATGAAGTCAATGAGACAATTGGTAGAAGTAAAAAAAAATTTTAAAAAATCCCCAAAACCACCCGCCCCAGCTAGAACTGTTCACTCACCACACACAGCAGCGTTGTCTTCACACTCCCAGTGGTAACTTTCTATCTTTGGGTGACAACCTGCTTGTTCTGCCTTACCATAGCAGCAGTCATGATTAAAGCAGCACCTGAGAGTAATAGAAACGGGCTTGCCTTAATTCATACTGTGGTGATTTATGGTCACATAATCTGGATGTTTTTTATCAGCATGTTTCTACAGGCTGTGAAAGAATAGAACAGTCAATATACACGAATGTACAAACAGTTACCTGCTCAGGAATCAAAATGTTGATTGTTTTATAGATCACTGGGAAGAAATTACACTCTTTCATATAATC